AAAGTAGGTGTTCTGGTGAAATATTATACTTTTAAACAAGAATAACAACAATAGCAATCACTAATTTTATCTGTGCTAGAACTCTACTCAGTTGGAGACAAACATAAGGGCCTCTGGGAGGGCCTTGTTGGGCGGGCGCTGGCTGCCCCCACCCTCAGCATCCCTGCCCGGAGGCCGCGCAGGTCCCGCCTGCTGCGAAGAGCTTTCTCTGTCCCTCCCTGCCCTGGCGGTGGCGGATTTCCCCTGGCACCAGCGAGGATGCGCCCTCGCCAGGTGGTCTCTGCGACAGGCTGCCACCTCGCCCTTCCCTGACCCGCCGAGACCTCAGAGCTCCCCAAAAGCCTTGGGGGAGTCTCCATCGGGAGTCCCGGAGGTGGGCCCAGGCCGTGAGAACGGTAACGCGGGTGGCCCGCGGATCAGCTGGTTTACCTTATGAGAAAGACACGCACTCTCGGAGGCAGTAAAAGGGGCCGGTGTCTCATTTGAGAAATGGAGCATAATACAGGCGTCTGGCGGTGGGCGCTCTTTCTTCCCGCCAAGTCGGGGACCCGGAGTCCAGCTCGCCTCCCGGCCCTGAGCCTCCGAGTGGGGCAGGCAGCTCTACCCGCGCAGCTTCGGTTGGGGGAGCAATGGCGGGGCCGCCGCACTGGGTGCCCCAGCCGGCAGACTCTGCGGCTGGGCTCAGCCCCTGGCTCCTACCTCGTGGCCGGGAGTCGGCCTAGGGCTGGACCTTCTTCTCCCCGGCGGAGTCCGAGGCCTTCTGGTCTTCCCGCCACCCTTGTTATCTCCCGTCCCCAGCCGCTAGGCCTCTTACCTTATGAGCAAGGCAAGAAAAATGCACCAGAGTCTAGGAGAGTGGGGGTGGGGTGCAGATACCACCAGCCTGGAATTTCAAGTTCAATGGCAAAGTCCCTGACCCTTCCCGCAGGCTGGGCGGCGACAGACTCTGCTTTTCCCGCCCCATCATTCTAGGGGCGAACGAGCGCTTACGCTCCCCCCTCCCATATTTGGGGCAATTTGGGGGAGGGGAGGGGGAGGGATGAAACTCCTTCTCTGTCTCCTCCGACTCCCCATCCCCCTATCTTTACACAGAACTAACTGGTAGCCGCCAGAGGAAGAAAGGCTGGCATCGGTTCCCCATTGGATGTTTTAAATCCCCTTCCAGGCCCAGGCCAGCTCCTGGGGGAGGGGTGGGTGTCCTCCTTGTGGGCGAGAGGCCGTGGGCCCTCCAATTCTTTCTCCCTCTCTCCTGGAAAGGGTCTGTTCTGTTCAGGTGGGTGAGAATACGATACATCTTTCTTTCAAAAACAACGAAAATGCCCATCGCCCCCTCCGCTCTGCGCCTTTTTGCGAGTTTACGGTAACGACTTCATTTCTTTAATTCCAGGTTGTAACTCTGGGGTTTCTATTAGACAATAAGGGGTTTGGATCATGGAAACTTTTCCCTGAAGGAAATCTAATTAAAGTACAGCATTTAGGACGTTGAATAAAAGTTTAATGAAGGGGGAGGAGGGGAGCTGGAGGCGGCCAAGGCCTTTTGCTCCGGGCTAGGGGAGAAGAGCCGGCGCCGATGGGACAACTGGGGGTGGGGGGGCTCGATCTGCAGCTTTTTCCGGCCGCAGAGGCAGCTTCCGGCCCTGGAATGACTCGGAGGATGGAAGGGAGGATGGATGGTGTGTGTGTGTGTGTGTGTGTGGTGTGTGTGTGTGCAGATTCTCAGTCGTCCGCGGCCTCGGGACTCCTCTGCTGCAGGAAGTGTGTGCCGGCGCGAGTAAAGGACTCTGGAGCTGGAGTTTGCTCTCCGCTGGGCCGCTGCGGGGATGTAGGTTCGGAAAGAGATTGTAGAGGTCCCATCTATGTACTTCGCCACCAAAAACCAAACCCAACCCACTGCCTTCGGGAGAATTCCAACTCTTACCAACCCTATAAGACACAGTAGAACTGCCTGCACAGAGTTTCCCAGGCTGTAAATCTATGAAAGCAGACTGCCGCATCGCTCTTCTGCGGAGCGGCTGGTGAGTTCGAACCGTCCACCTTTCGGTTAGCAGACGAGAGCTTAACCACCGCGCCACCAGTGCTTCTCCACCACCCCCTTAATTCGGCCCCTGGAGGCCTAATAAAGTCCACTGGGTTTGGAATTAGACAGGATTTCTTTTGGTCCTGCAACCAGCCGAGATGCAACTCTGGGCCCGTTTCGTTGTTTGTTTAGACTTCCGACCCTAGGAGGCGTTTGGTCGGAGGGAGGGGAGAGGCGTGGAGGGAAGCTAGGAGTAAAATTACTGTGTTGACAAGGACCCCAATGTGTTTTCTGGAGTATCTGTGTGTGCCTCTTCTGCGTTTATTTAATGTTCATTTACTGTCTGACTTCACCTATTCCTAAACATTGTATTCACATGATTCCGTTTGAATCATTAAATAGCCCTGTATAAAAACAAATCGCTGCAGGCAGCGAACGGAGATGTGCGGATTTTGCCATAATTTATACTAGTGAATTGAGAATGGTTAGCCTGGGGGGTGGTAGAATTCGTTTCGGAAGTAAAATTTATGTTTGGAAAGGAGTTCCATAAAAGGGTTTGCTACAAAACGAAATTAATTATTATTATTATTATTATTTTGCACAGGTTCTATATAAGTAAACCACTCAGAAAATAAAGAGGGGAGGAAGTTGTCTACTGGGAATTGTTACGGCGGCGAGCAAGGGGAACGTAACACGCCGACTGAACGCAGACGCGGGCCCAAGGCAGATGGCGCCGCAGCCTTGCTCCGGCTCTGTTCGTCCTCGATTCGGGATCGCTCGTGCTTGTCTTCCTCCTGGTCTCTCGGCGGCCGGACCGATACATCTGCTGACGCCCCGACTGAATTACGGGCGACTCCGGGTACTGGCGCTCTCCTACGTAGCCTGGAGCCCCCCAAGCCGGGAGGCCGCAGAACCCCAAGGCTCAGTGGGGATTAAAGCCGAGGTGGCCAGCGAGTTCCCTGAAGTGGAGAACCTCTACCGGAAGGGGGCGCCCTTGTCTTTTTAATAGTCCAAACCCACAGTCGTAGTGAAATAAATCCCTGCGACCCGCAATCTTTTGTTTTTAAATTATTACGAGCGAAACATAAAGGGTCCCCAAAACTTGATAGGGAGCTGGAGGAGCCAGAGCCCCGGGATTGCAGCGTCTCGAGGCTCCTGACTTCCTCAGGCTCAAGCAGAGCCATCGCGGTTAACCAAGGTGACAGCTCCCTTTGTGGCCTTCCTCCTTCATATGAGGTCCCACCATAACGCATCCCTCATTAGTCTGGTGCCCTCCCCACATGCCCATCTGCGCTGAAGTCTCGCCATTTCTGAAGTCCGGTTATCACGCTTTATCCTTAGTCGGGTTCGAGTTTATGGGAGCAAAGGAGTAAGACCTTATGACATTAAAAGCTGCCCGCATGAGACTTCGTTTGAAGGAGACCGTGGAAGGCGGAAAGTGGCCTATTCTGAGCTGGGCGCTTTCCGGAGTAGCGTAAACTGGACGGCAGGGCTTGGAAGGAATCTTTAAACTAGAAATCAATAGATTCCCCAACCCACACACACGCACTTCAAGGAGATTCAGGGAGGAAGGGCGACAACTCGCCTTGGGCCTTTTTTTCCTCAGTCCTGGGCTCCTCTTTGGTTTAAAAAAAATTTTTTTTTTTTTTTTTTAAGAGTCTGAGCCTCTTGCCAGCTCTTTTTTCCGAGAGAGAAACCACCGCTCGGATCCCTCCCGACTGCGAGCCCTAGGAACACCCAAATCCCTGGGCTGCGGCGGCCGCGCTAGGTTTCCTGGAGAACTTTGAGCGCGCTCCCCGGAGGAAGAAGCCCGGACGGTCGCCGCGCGGCCCACTGGCTCTCCAGCCCTCCCGCTGCTCCGTGGCCGCTCGGAACTTGAGTCCGCGGGGTCCTCCCATCTCCCGAGGCTGTGCGCCCAATAGCAGGGAGCGCGGCTGGGGATCCCCCAGCCCAGGCTGCAGAAGGCCCAGCGCAAACCTGTGGCTTTGCTGTGCGCCCAGGCGACGAGGACCACTCCTAGCCACCCGACAGGACGGAAGGAGCCGCCACAGAGCCAGACTCCGTGTCCCTCTCACGCTCCCGGCTCTGCCAACAGCAGGTCTGCCCCAGAATTCCGGAATTTTGCGCTGCGGGTCTCTGTCTACACGGGTCAGGAAAGCAGAACACGTGCCATGCCGCCCTCCACCCACACGGGGATTCAGTGGGTGGATTGAATCAGCGGCACGGGAAAAGGAAGTGAAGCCTGCAGCCAACGTCTCCTCCGCAGCCTGAGGTTTCTTTGGGTTCGTGGCCCGCGCTTCTTTCACCTGCAGAAGGGTCTGGGACACCTCCCTGGCCTGAGGCCCACAACTGCTCCTGTGAGCGTCACGGGAAGGTGAGCAGCGTAGGGATGGTTGGTGAAAGGGCCGGTTTCCAGTTTCTTCTCCCGCCAGGTTGGGATGCTGCCTGCGGGCAGGGTTGGGTACTACTCCCAACTCTGTCACCACTGTTAGTGCCTGAGAGGGGCCACATCCACAAGGCTACAAGTATCTGTTTCAAGCAGCTCCCAAATGCCCAACGGACCATGGAACCACACACCTGCTTCAGTCAGAACCACAGCAACATTATGGGAAGACGGAGATCTTTTTAGTTCCTCCCTTCCCCGCATTGGTGAACTGTCCAGACACTTTCTCAAACTTCACTAATCTAGAAGGGTGGACGGCAGATCAGCTAGCCCCATTCTTCCTTCTCACACAACTGGAACTCTAAGAATTGGGGTGGGGGCTTCCGAGACCAGTGTGTACAACCTGGGAGGTGGACAGGGAAGAAGAGGGACCTTCTTGCAGTGCTGTCCTGGTAGCTGTCATCTTAGAAAAAAGCTAAACAGCAATGCAGTTAGAGTTGAACCTGCCTCTCCTCTCCCAGAACCCCTCCTGCTGGCACCGCCAGGGCTTTGTGAATGGGAAGGGGATCTGAGAGGACGCTGCCTCTGCCACAGGTCTCCTTCCAAGTTTATTCCTGATCAGCTCAATCCATGAAAACGGTTTTGAAAGTGCTCTACAGAGCTCTAGATAGAAAATATGAGGCTAACTATCATGGCCACTGGATCTGGTTATGGTGATTATCGCCAATGTGAGGATGAAGGATTATGACTGAGATAGGTCCTTTGAGTGGTGTAGCCCTGGAGGAATGGGCCTAACTCTGGCCTAACTTGCTCTCTGCAGCAGATGGGGGTATCCAGCTTGCCTCTGAGGAACAGCCCAGGGAGCCAGCCATGGCCTGGGAAGGGTGTTCTCTCTGGGGGGCCACCTCAGCAGAGTCCTGGGGCCCAGCCTGGCCCTGGCAGAGTCCTGGTCTCCCCAGGGACTTCTCCTTCTGTTCCCCCCACCCAGCCAAGGAGCTCCCTCACTGGGTAGCACTTGTCTTGACCTTGGCGAGGACCTTCTTCTCCTTGACCCGGCGGTTCTGAAACCAGATGGTGATCTGGCGCTCAGAGAGGCTGGTGGCCGCCGAGATCTTGCGCCTCTTGTCCTTGGTGATAAACTTGTTAGCCGCGTACTCGCGCTCCAGCTCGCGCAGCTGCCCCTTGCTGTAGGGAATGCGTTTCTTGCGGCCTCGGCGGAAGGCGCAGCCGTCGGGAGGGTGCTGTGCGTTCGAGTCTGCGCAGCCGGAAGGGGAGAGAAAGACGTGCTCAGACCCCCATGCGGCGCGAGGGACCCAGATCCCACAAATCCCAAAGCAAAATCACCCTGCAGGCGCACCCAGGGGCGCTCCGGCTCCCCAAAAAGAGACCAGGACCTCAGCCACCTCCTGCACTCTGATCACCGCCCCGCTTCGGAAACACAAGGCTCCTGAAGGCCACCCTCACCCATCGCACCCTCACACTCGCAAGTCTACAAACACACCCACCACACAGCCAGGCTTTTGCCTGTGGTCAGACTCTTGGCCACTCATACAGAGTTTACAGGAGGGATCGCGTTCTTTCCTCCACACACGACACACACACACAGACACACACTCATATACACCAATGAACAACATGCTTGCAGGAATCCTAAATTTTTCTTCAAAAATTCATCTACGGGAAAATGAAGGGTAGTATTCGCGACCCTACAGAACGTCCAATATCTGCCTTCCTGTCCTTCCACTCCTCACACACATTCACACTCACTGAATTGAGAGATATTTAGCCTTTGTGCAGAATCAGACTGTGACTGTGCTTGGTAGGGATGTCCCCTCGACAGCAAAGAGAACTAAACCTTCCCACATATTGAAAGGCTGGTCCCAGGGTCTTCTGGGGGAAGCGAGAAGGCCTACTGGCCTGCAGGCTTTAGATAGCACCCAGCTCAGGCCCCTCACACTGACCCTCTCGGGCCTCCATCCTGGCCCTCCAGCTCTCTGGACCCTCCTTCAGACTCCTCATAGCTAAACGGAGGAGAAGCCATCTGTCTCCTCCCCATCAGTCCCAAATTTCCCTTGTCTTCCTCTCAAACTAGTGCCAAAGGAGCCCACAATCCTAAACTGAGCACCAGGAGGCCCAGGGCAGTTGGGCATGGTTACCTGCAAATGCCGCCTTCCAGAAGGGACCCGGTTGGTTCTGTTCTCCCTGGCAACACATCTGGCTGTTCCAGCTGCCAGCGAGAGCCCAGGGCTGGTAACTGTCCACTGGCAGCAGAGAGTCGTGACGGGGCTCCCCAGGGGCGCCCAGGGTCTGTACCACAGACACATCCAGGTAACTGGCCATAGGCTGGTAGGGTCCTGGGTACCCTGGATAAAAGGCAAACTCGGTGGGGCGGCTGGGGTACTCCTCCCCGGCCGCAGGAGTTTCTGCAGGGTAGGCAGCCAGGGTGGCTGCCTGGGCACAGGGTTTCAGCGAGCTCCGGGACACTCGGCAAGAGTAGTACCCGCCTCCAAAGTAGCCGTAAGGCACTGGAGCTGGGGATGCCCCCTGAGGCACCCCAGGGCATGGGTGGCACTGCTTCGGCTGCTCCGCAGAGCCTGGCAGATCCAGGGGGGCATAGTTGGCAGCGGGCATCAGCGTAGGCGCCGCTGGGTGGCTGGTCAATGGGGAGTGGGCGACTAGATGCCGACTCCCTCCGGTTGCCAGCAAGCCTTCGATATCCTTGGCCACGTCCAAGGTGGCATAATTGCCAGGATCCATGGGGCCGAGGGTCGGCTCATGAGGTGCTGAAAGTAGAGGAGACAGGAGGCACCCAGCTCGCTCTCCCCACCCAGGCCCAGGGAATCCAAAGCGTTTTAAATCTCTCCCAGCTCGCTCGGCGCCTGCATTGGGTCGGCTCGGCCGCCTTTACGCAGGAGACGCAGGGGCCTGGGCACGCGCGCTGATTGGCTGCGGCCTGGGGGAGAGAAGCTAATAAAATCCTCATGGCAGAAATTGCGAAAATACTTCCCCCCTTCCCTTCTCTCTCTCTCAATTTATTGCATTTAAAAAAACACGAGAGAAACGGGAGGCGGTGTCCAGTTTGGAGAGACCCAGCTCCAGGGAGGGGGGAGGGGGGAGGCACAGGGAGAGGAACACGGAGCTGGGCCCCACCTCCGTCGCGTCCTCTCCCGGGCTCTCTGTCTCCGGCTCTTTGGCAGGTTTAACGAGAGAATAAAAAGCTTTCTCTATAAAGCGTCCATCTCAGGGGGGAAGGGGAGTCGGGGGTGGGGCAGGGAGGCCGTTCTGGGATTGAAAAAGGAACCCGGGGAAATGCGCTTGAATTGGGGGAGGCTGGGGAATGGGGGTTAAAGGGTATTCCTGGAAGCCCCTTGCTTTGAGTCCCAGGTACTAGCACCCCAATTCACTCCAGGTGCCCCTCCCCCCTGGGTGTGCTGTAATGAGCTGCCCCGGGCCCCAGGGACGTGCCCTGGAAGTCCCTTCCCCGGAGACCGCAGCTACTGCCCAGAAGACAGTCCCGATTCCGGGGTGGAGCGGAGGGAGGGGCGGGGGACACGGGCTCTGACGACGAAAACGTGAGAGCTAGAGCCCTAGACGCGCAACGTCCGGATCTGAAGGGGAAATGGAACCTCTCTAGACGTGGCCTGTGAAAGGGTCTGGATTTCCGTTTACGGGTGGGGAAGGAGAGAGGACGAGCCAGCCATGTAGATGCAGAGAGAGAGAGAGAGAGAGAGAGAGAGAGAGAGAGGGAGAGAGAGAGAGAGAAACTCTGGGACTGCAGCTCTAAGAGAGAAGCTGAAGGAGGGAATGAGAAAGGGTCTTATAAACTGAAGTCCTTGTCCTAAAAGAGAAAACCTTTTCTCTTTTTTCTGTGGTCCAGACCCCAAGAATGGGGGAGAAAGAACAGAGATGTCCAGCTGCTCTGCCCTGTGGTTCGCTCCCTACGGTGCAGAAGACCTAGGAAATGCTTTCTGGCACTGGCACACTGCCACCCAAGCTGAGTGCCCAGAGAGACCCTTTTCTGCCTCTTCCAGGAATTAAATGCCCTTGAAAGGAAAAGGGGGTGGGAGGGGCAGCCCCAATCCCTGCCGGAGGAATCGCTTGAGGCCCCCGTGTTGGGGTCTATTGTGCAGTGCGATTCGGAAGACTCAGATGGCTTGTCTCACAAATCTGTCTTTAGGTTTTATTTTATTCTGCCCCCTGTTTCTGTCACTGTCCCTCCCACATAAAATCCCCATCAGCGTTTTCTAGAACATTTTTCTGGAGAGCGCAAGGACCTTTCCATTCCACACCAGGGTCATGGCAATTATATGGGACAGGCCTGAGCTCTGGGGTGGGCTCATCCATGCCCTCCCATCAACCTAAACTTGAACTTGAGCCACTTTGTGGGAAGCCACAGTTGAAGAGGTTACTCTGATTTGTAGACCTAAAGTGGACAGTGTGGATCACCCTCAATGAACATTGCTGATAATTGAAGACACCAAGCACAGACTCCTTGCTGGATTTCACTGCAATTGAAAACAGCATGAGATAAAAGGGAGGTGTCTCTTTGCTGCCTTCTACATTCTCATCATAGCTCTTTGCTTGTCTAATTCTAAAAGGCAGAGAGACCAGAATTGTTACTTAAAGATTAAGAAGATTAAGAAACTTTCACTGGTTTTTTATTTTATAGATGATGGATACGTAGAGCACTTCCACAGTTCAAACATTTATATCATGTATGTGTTTATTTTTGTGGGAAGAATGTACACACACAGTATGGGCACAAATAGATGTCTAAATTAAAATTTCTACATTAAAAATTTCTAAAACTAAAAGCAATAATCATAGCTGTACCTTATTACCCAGCAATTCCACTCCTGGCTATATTGTTGCTGTTGTTAGGTGCTGTGGAGTCCATTCTGACTCATAGAAACCCTCTTTACAACAGAACAAACCACTTCCTGGTCCTATGCCAGCCTCATAATTGTTGCCATGTTTGAGACCATTTTTTTGCAGCCACTGTGTCAATCCAGCCCATTGAGGTTCTTCTAAGCATCATATCCTTCTCTGGGGACTGGTCCTTCCTGACGTATCCAAAGTAAGTGGGACAAAGTCTCACCATGCTCACTTTGAAGGAGCGTTCCAGCTCTGCTTCTTCACGACACATTTGTTCATTTCTCTGTCTGTCTGTGGTATATTGAATGTTCTTTACCAACACCATAATTCAAAGGTATCAATTCCTGGATATATAACCCACAGGAATTAGTGCTTTCTTCATTAAAAAAAAAAAAAGTACTAGAATCTCCATAGCAGCTTTATTCATAATAACTCAAAATTAGAAACAACCCAAATATCCATGAATAGGAGAATGGACCAACCAATGATGTTAAAGTTAAACAGCAATAATAAAAGAAAAAGGAACAAAGGACTACCACATATAACCTAGGTGAGTCATACAGATACATGAATGAAATAAATTAGACACAAAATAGTAACTTTTGTAATTGCATTTCCACAAAGTTTAAGAACAGGCAAAATTGACCCAGGGTGAGAGGTCTGAAGAGAGATCATTCTGGGGAGGGGAGATCAGAAAGCCTTCTGGGGTGCTAGAAATATTATCTTTTTCTGGGTGCTAGTTACATGGCTGTATTCACTTTGTAAAAATTTAACAAGCTGTACACTTGAGATTTCTGTACTTTAATGTACATACTATACCGTGATTTTTAAAGGAAAATAATTTGAAAACAAAAATTAAAGCATTCACTCCAACAGGGCCTGTAACTGTGCTTTTTGGATATATAGTGTTCTTCTCTGTGTCCATGGACATGCAAGTAACCGCACTGTGGTGGGATGCAGAGAGGACCAATTCAAACCTTGCCCCTGAGAAACTCACCATCTGTAAGCAGATACTATCATATATATATTCTCTAAAATTCATTTGGCACCTACTAGGTCCCAGGGCATGCTCTGAACATTCTGATATCAGATTTATTAATACGTGGGCACACTTTCCTCTCTCCTGTACGTGTATATGTACGTGTATTGGTCTGTGATAGCACAGCCCTCAAACTGGAGTCAGAAAAGGCAGGTTTCCCAACCTGTAAAATGAGAATAAGAACTCCAATTTCACAGGAATGTTGTGCAGATTAAATGAGCTTGTGCACGTGAATGCGTTTTATAAACTGAATAAATATTAAGAGTTCTGTGTCCTGAATGTGTAGCTGCTTCTCATGACTTACAAGCCACCTGCTTCTGTTTGGGAAAGAAAGGGAACAGTTGTCCTGAAGACTGCCGGTCATTTCTCACTTGCCTCTCTCCGCCCTGAGAACCCCTGACCTTCCCACAGGGCTACACTGAGGCTCTGGGCTCTTCAGGCCCTCACTGGGTCTCACCTGAGTTCAGGGCCAAAGTTCCTGCACAGCCCGGACCACCTGACCTCCCTGCCTGCCTGGGCTGTGCCTGCCCTTCCCTCTGCCCCCGCAGACTCCTTTGTGCCCCGCTGGGAGCCTTGGGCCGACCCCCAGGGAACCCAGAACCTGTCCACCCCCACTTTACAGGCCCGCCCCAAAGCGTTGAAAGCCTCAGCAAGCTCCTTTACATACCGGCCAGACACCTCGAGGAAGGTCAAGGCCAAGTTGAAAGTTAAGAGTCTGATTACCTCCGGGAGCCCATTCAGCGCAGCCCCACAAACCGCCTGTGACCTTTACAGCCCGGCCTTTGAGTGTGGCCGCCGCGCCCCCGGGGGTTCCGGCCACGGGGACTTGGCACCTCCGTGTCAGCTCCCGCCCCCGCCCGGGATTGGGACTTGCCAAGGAGGGAGAGGGGGCGAGAGGCGCCCACCTTCCCACGTGGGACATTTGTTAAACTGTGTTTTGTTTTTTGTAAAGCGAAGTGAGTACCCGTTGCCTCCTTTCTCCCAAAGGCAACAATGTGATGGCAACCGTGGCGGCCCTCGTGTCGGTGATGGCGAATAACGCGGATTTATTTGCGGTGACAAGTTTCCTTCTCCGTGAGCGTCTGGGCTGCGCTGCCCCGCGGGCCTGGCTGCACTGCTTGGGGTCGCTTCCTGCTCTCGGTTTAGTGGAAATGGCCTAACGGCTGCTCTCTTCTCTTGTCTTCCAAACGACCTTTCTTTCCGTCTGTATTTTCTATTTCCTACCTTTGGTTTCTCGGCCTCTTTCTTTTTCTTTTTTTTTTATATTTCTCTCTCTTTCTGCCTCTCTTTTCTGCTTAACGCCTAAGGCATTTGACTGCTAACTAGAAGGCTGGCGGTTCAAACACACCAGCCGCTCCTGGAAAGGCACGTTGGGTAATCTACTTCTGTAGTGATACCATTTCTTGACTCTTTTTCACTTACTTTCTGGCCCCCTTTCCCTTGATCTGCCTTTATTTCCCGTTGGTTTCTTCCTCTTTGTCATTTATCGGTCTTTCTTTCTCACTCTTCCTTTCATTTTCTCTTTCCCCCTTATTCTCCTTTTCTGTCTTCCTCTCTCGTCTATTCATTTCTTTTTTCTGGCTTCCTTAGATCGAGTTTACTTTTCCCTGTCCCCTTATGTCCACACACGCACTCCTTTTCCTTTCTGGCCTTCTCCCACAACTATCCATTGTTCTCTAAAAGTTGGAAAGGTCCTGCTGGGCGGTAGCTCTTTGCGGGCTGGAGCCTGCTCTTGGCTGGGCGGCCCCAGGAGGCTAGAACTGGGGGTCTGGCCAAGGATGAGAGATATGAAGTCAGTAGGGGCCTCTCGACCTTAGAGGAAAATCTTTTGGACAACTTGAAGGCTGGCTACAGGAGCTCAGAAAGGTAGAGAGGGGGAGGCCAATGTCAAGCTTCTTTGTCTCCCCCAACCTGGGCAGCCCAGTGACATCCTTGGGGTTAGAACCACCTTAAAATAAACCCAAGGGCCTCAAGGGTGGGGA